CATTTAACATTAAATAAGTGTAAGCTTTCTTTTGACTGTACATTTAGTCTAATTTTTTTTTATCCGATTATGAGTTATCCAACAAAAAAGACAAGTTTTGCTACAATTGAATTGACATATTATAACGCGTTATCACTATTATACATGTTCTTTCTCGTCACCATTTTATAGATAGGGTAGTGAAATTTAATTTGCCCTAAACTGGAATGGCGTAATTGGATTATGTACTCTGTTTATTTCAATGTACCTGTTATTGGTTTTGGATTTAGACATAATTAACCGACAAATCCCATTTCCATAAAATTACTAATTTAGATATGCAGTCTACTTTCCGGAAACAGGAAATAGAAATGAGAAGTCAATTTTGATGGTCATTTGAGGGACATAAAGGTTCCTCTTTTTCACATGGCCAAAGACCAAGGGTGTGGTCATGGTGACTTATATATTAGTTAGGTTCAATTAAAAATTATTTAATTTAATAAATATTTTATTTTTAAATAATTAATTATGATATTTTAAAATATTAATTTTAAAATTAATTTTAATTTTTTATTTTTTATAATTAAATAAAATAAAGTTATATAATCTTTAACAAAATAATTTATGATTATAACCACAACTAAAGACCGGTGGATGATTCTGCGGGTTGTATCAGTTCAGTAGGAAACTCTTTCCGTCGGTGTTTTTTGGTCGCATATCTTAAATCTTAGGTAGAAATTAGTTTAATTGAATAGGTCTTAGGCACAGTGCAGGACAAGCCACCATGCTAGCTCCCAATCCAAACCAACTTTTTCTCCAATTCTCCACAATAATGCAGAATTTACCCCATTTGTATATACAATGCCCAACCATTACATCCTCTCCTTGCTGCATTTCCAAGCATACATTTTCATGGGCCCATTTCAGTGATCGGATTCTTCTCTCGAACTTTAAATTTTCTAAGATTTTTTTCTAGAATTTTAATTTTAACATGTCCTCTAACAAACGCTTGGCTATTAGTATTAGCTAATTACATGTGTATGT